CGTTCTATCTCCCGTGTGTGTGAAGTGGTATAATAAGGTGAGCAATATTGAGGTTAGGCCATCGGTCGAGTGCTAGTTGGTAAGGAGGAATTGGAAATCAATCGACGAGACTGTGAAATTACATCGACTGAGATGGTCAGGACATGTGTTACGCATGCATCCCTAGTCATCGCCTTCCTCGACAATGGGCAATGTTAGCTCGTGATATAGGATGGGTCAGGCTGGAAAAATGCTAGCTAGTGGTGGTCAAACGAAAACATGGCTTCACCAGTCAATGAAATCTACAACAGTTAGTCTAGGCCACGTAGGAAGGTGTAGACTTCCTGACTGGTTGGAGTCCTCGGGACGGTAAAAACCAATGAAGGCTGGAAACAATTGGTGACATGGCTAGCTCAAAGTGATCGTTCTCAATGGCTGGCTGGTGCAGATGCATCCACTCCTTGTGACCTATTTATGATTTCCAATGAAACTGTTTTGTTCTTCGTTATTACTATTCCTTTTGTCTCACACCTCTGTTTACTGTCTCTCTCTAATATGCATTTCTCCTACTTTCTTCTTTTCTGGCTTTGTGTGCTACAAGGAGGGAGTGTGGCGATTTGAACTGGCGCACACATCTGTGCAAAGTTCTATGTCGAAAACAGACAGACCGACAGATGTTTCACCTGGAACCCAAGGGAGTAGTAACAGTGGTAATAAAAATATGAATGGATGGATCGATGCTAGGCTGTATCACTCAGCATCTCTAATCTTATATTTCGGTGATAATTTGAACTCCAATAAAGCAATCTACATTTCCCCCTACAGTTTAGGCTAATAACCCGTTATTACTCGATGAATTGATTTTCTCATCCAAAAAGTGTTAGCCTTTCCTCACGCTTCAGATATTATCAGTGTGGCATGTGCTACTGATAAGATTTATCAGCAGTATATTAAGAGACGTTTATCGGCATAAAAATATCACATAGCAGGGAGATAGATTTGATGTAAAACAGAGCAAATGAACGAGTGTTGCAGCAAGACAGTAGCTGGACAAAGAAACTCAATACGAAGGGGGCAGAAGTAGTATTAATACACGGAAGATCTGTGCAGCAAATGACAATTTTCAGATAAGGTGTACGTAGATAACTTCGCCATATGATGATACCAAATTCCAAGCAAAAATTCTGTTACCAATTTTCTTGTCTTTCTTTCTACCCGTGAATTCCAACGTTGTTAATTTTTTGAACGTCTTCTTGAGGAAATAGCTATAATCGATATTCTTCCCCCTTAATTTATTTTATTGTTTTAGTTTCGATTGCTTAGGATTATTGATTACCTATTCACATATAGGATTGTATCATTTTGTTTTGTTCAATAAAAAAATAAATAATAATAAGAAAACTATTGAATAACTCTCAGGCATGAGTTGATCTTTTTACCTGAGAACGCAGTGAAACCGTTTGATTGGTCACCCTCACCCACCCCACCCACTAACCCCACTTTACTTCTGCTTTACTCCATCAACAATAACAACAACAACAACAACACAATCTATATATGTCCAAACCAAGTTCACTTTTAACAGTTTGAAAAAATTTGGGCATTGGGTATATGATATTCATTATAATAATAAAGGTTTTAGTATTTCCCAATGAATGAAAAACAAAACGATATTGCTGTTTTTACTGACGTTTCGCTATTTAATGCTAATAGCTTTATCAAAGTATTATTAAACCGGAATTTACAAAATCTCAACAAAGAGTTAGGGAGTGAGAAAATAGACTTAGGTCAAGTTAAAGGGACATATTGAAAGTAAAAATAGCAATGAAGATAACTAAACCAAATAACAAAGTTCATAGTTTGTCTGTTATGGTAGCAGAATAAAGTTTACTAACTTGATCATCGTTCGTTAGTCTGGGGTCATTTTCCGTTGTCAAGTTGCTCAATTGGTAAAGAAAACAAAATCAAGTGTGGATTGTTGGATTTGATCAGTGTGTAAAATTATAAAAGTAGTGTGTGTGTGTTTACATAGTGAATTCGCATATCACATTCGTGTTGGTTTTGTCACTTCATGGGGGAGGGAAGGGAGGTGTTGTAACCAGGTCAGATTCTGTTTTAGTCCATTATTCCTATTCATTGATATAAGAATAAAACTTGGGCACTGTGGTAGAGTGTAATTCCATTATGGGTAAATTTTATTTTGATAGAGTCTCACAGTGTTATACAGTAATATTTACTGATATCAGTAAATATGATATTAGACGTTATTGATGATTTCTGAAGTTTTTCTGGATTATTTCAATATTGTCAAAATCAATTTTGTGACCTGATTCTATAGTGTGTAGATGAGCTATGGCTGATGATTTTTCAAGTTTTTCTAGTTCAACCGGATTTCTCTGTGGTCGAAGAGATGCTCTACGGTGCTTATTTCTTCTGATTTTGATTTCTCTCTAGCGATGTTTCTCCGATGTATATTGCATCACATCCCAAGCGAGCATTTTATTTTATAGACACAATTAGATAGAGAATCTTTAGGGATTTGGTCTTTTATATGGACAAGGTTGCTTCGTAGTGTGTCTGATGTTTTGAAGAAAACACTAATGATACTCTAATAATACTTTGATCGAGCTATTAGCATTAAATAGCGAAACGTCAGTAAGAGCAACAATATCGTTTTGTTTTTCATTCATTCATTGGGAAATACAAAAACCTTTATTATAACAACACAATCTGTCTTCAAAATTAACCTTGTCAAGGTGTATTTAGTTTTCTTTTCTGTGAAGAGAAATGGTATATATATAACTGATATGAAGGGAATATGTTAACCGCCAAAATATATTTATATATACATTGACAATTACTTCATCTGATATATACTATTATTATTGTTGTTGTTTAAATCGAAACAAAATTAGGTAGGTATTCAATAAATCAGTTAGTTACATAGGTGAACTCATAGATTCAAAAAATAAAAGACAAATCAGATTAGAAGAAAAGAAAATAATCCTACAAAATAATAAGTTGTAATTTTTTATCTATAAGCTGGTTCATTGGGAGAAAATCCTCTCCAGACATGTACAGTGGGGGTTCACATCCCAAACAACGTGCCTAACTGGTTGGGTAGGAAGTTCAGAATAGAGAAAAGGTTTGATGCGATGTTGGCGAACTTAATAATATATGTGTAAAACTTGGGCACTGTGGTGGTAGTAAGTAATTCCATATTAGTTTGTTTATTAGATATATCACACAGTCAGTGAAACAGTATTATTTACTGGATGACACAGTTTCGAACAAAATTTATTAGTGTTCATAATCATGCCATCAATTGTAATCACACGAGTTTGACACTTGAGTTTATAGTTTTCTTTGTTTTCTCCTATTTGTCGTCGTAGGGGTAGTAGTATCTTCCAGATATCTGGGTGGACAGGTGATGAATCATTCCTATTACACGCATTCTCCTCAGTTGGTTCGATAAACAAAGCTTCTGTTATCAATCTCTCCCTCCACCCTGCTGTTACATTAGATTTTAAAACTGTCATCCTATCCCATCCAGCCTATTGTATGGTTGTGTGTAACTGCATGTGGTGAGTGCTATAAGCTGAACTATTCTCTAGATTTCTTATCTTATTTGGATCAACCAATCTAGATTTTGCTAGATTTTTATGTTCAGCTAGTCTGACTGCCCCTGTTCTACTAGTTTGACCTATGTATTTGACCTGACAATCATTCCAACAGGGTATTAGATAAACTAAATTGTTTTGTTTTAAAGGCTCTACAGGATCCACTATTTAACCGACAAAGCTTGTTTCTAACTGAGTTTGTGGTTGGTTTGAATGCCAGCAGCCACTTTTATTCCTGCCTTGTTAAGAAATCTGCGTAAGGCTTCCAAGGTACCTTCCTTGTATGGAATTACTACTGATTTAGATTCCTTATTGTTGGTGTCGTCATTAATATTATTGTTATTATCACTATCGCTACTATCATTATTTATTTTATTTTTACATTTCCTTACATATTTCCTGACCAATTTATCCGGGTAATTATTAAGTTTCAAGGCTTCTTTTATGTGTATCAGTTCCTGTTCAAGTTTTCAAGTCGTGTGATTACAATTGATATGATTATGAACAATAAATTTGGCGAACTTAACCGTGTGAAAACGATGCGACTGCTTTATTAGTAGTAGTAATGCTTTGGGTTTTCGAGTGGCACAGTGGTTAGAACTCTCGCCGACCATCCGCATGGTCTGGGGTTCGAGTCCCTGCCGACGCACACCCGATATCTATGGTTGGCCTGCAAAATTTGGGCTACCGATATCCATGCTGAAAATTCCATACTTGTACTGAAAATACGGTGTGGCATCAAGCTGTAATAAAAAAAATAGAAAAATTTTGATTTCGCTCTGTTCACCGCTGTCTTTTCTCGATCTGGCTCTAGTGACTGCACATAAGTTTTCATTTCCTCAGCGTCACATGATCTTCTACGTGTCATCCTTGGATCTATGCTCAACACACTCGTTGTTTCTCAACTGGGTTCAATTCGAGGGCCTGGCACTTGATGTAGCATGCTATTTAACGGCCTCCTCAGCCTATTCACAATCCGTTTAAATTTTCTGTTGCATGTTTATTTGTTAGGCGACAGGTTCTTGGATATTTCGTTGTCTGCCAGAGTTCCCCTTTGCTTGTCCTTACTAAAATTTCAAAAGCGAATGGAAAGACTTATATTTCTGTGATAGAATTCCACCTCGTTTCTACCATCATTCCCTTCCTATATGAAGCAGTGGTGCTTTTGTCAAGGTTCCCGATTTCTAGTTTCATTGGGTCAGGGGTTCGAACCCCGTTTCACCTAATAAGTTTTGGATATCCAGGCAGTATGATTATTTCCTCCCCCCTCCTCACTCTACCTCAGAAACAATTGATGTGACTAATTGCTAACCACAGTTTGGGATCACATTTGGTAGTGATTGCTTAATATTTACATCCATTCTTTTGTTTTCTCTCTCTTTAATACACATTTCATCAAAGGAATCAAATACTACTGAAAAAGAAGTTAGCAGTAGTGGTGATACTAAAAAGTAAGTTAACTGATTTTATTTCAGTTATATTTGCTGTTTTGTTTTGTTTTAAGTTTTGTAGCAATCTAGATTAATTCCAGCATAGATTTTCTCAGTGAACCATCATTAGGTACAGAAATGATGAGAATGAAGGAGCACCAGACTGATGTTTCGTCCTAGATTGGGACTCTTCAGACTCTTTAGGTTAGAATCCGACGATTAAAGGATGTTAACATCTGTGAGTTTTGCTATATGACCACACTGAAACTCTGAAATAAATAAAAATTACTACGAACGCATCTTGAAGTTGTTATGAGGACTCTTGGCCTGTGGGGGTTCCAAGATATCAGAGTAAAGGTGGATGTTCATCTACAGGATCTCGGTTGGTGGAACTGACAGAATCTAAAATTCATAGCTCATTGCATTCTGCCCCTTTGGCTGAATAGTCTGCAGAGCTTGCCAAACTCTTGTGAGTGACGTCCAGTTCAAAATTGTATTAGAGTAATATGAAAGTCGACTCTGATTTGATGGAATCTACGGCACTATTCAGAAATAATAATTTATATCAGAAATATAAAACTACTTCGACAATGCCATCCAGCAGCTGTGCGATCCAAACGTGTCTCAGACACAAAACACGTACTGCAAAACAAAACTGCTTCAGTTTACTCCACGATCAATAAGAATATTTTCAATATGGACGGATGAAAACTTTGTCTGCAAGAATGAAACATAAGAAACACATTTTCCTCAGACGCTGTACGGTAAACAGGATCACTCCTAACAGTTACCATAATCGTAAAATAAGACATCCTTATCACTACCATCGCACAACAGTAAATAGAATCAATTAATGGTTGGAATCAGCCAACAACATCAGTATTATTATTGTTCCCTTTAATTCCTAGAGGAACATAGGGCTTCAGCTGTGCGTCTCCATTGTATTCGCTTCTCTGTTAGAGTTTTCACCTCGCTGCAAGTCTGCCCACACGTTTTTATCTCCTCTTCACATGACCTCCTCCAAGTCACCCCACCCTCACACTGACGACCAACTCGCCGCCGCTTCCCTTTCGGCCGGGTTCCACTCGAGCAATGGCTTGTCTAGTGATGTCACTTGATGGCTTGTTTCCTCAGAGTATGGCCAGCCAATCCACCTACCTCCATTTCTTCCTGCCTATTTGTTTCACAATCGGTTGGTTCCTGCTGTGTTGGGTTGGTTCGCTCATTGACAGAGATCCCTCTCTGTTGCTGATGTTTTCTGGCCGGCCGGCCATCTGATCTTGAGTGGTATTGAGCGAATACAGCTAGCTGTTAATGAAGGTGTGTAGTTTGTTTGAGATGCTGTTTATGACGCGCAGTGCAAGTCTCTGATCCGTATATTAGGTGGCACTGACTGACTTCACATTGGAGTTGAAAATCCGGATCTTATTTTGGATGCTGAGTGCTAGCCAACAACTTAGCGGAATAATAAGGATTAAATCAAAAGGAGATGTACAAATGTTAGACACACAGGTTAGGGGTAAAGGGTAATGATTGTAAAATTAATTGAAACATTCGAATAAATATCAGTATTGTAAACAGATTGTTTAATAAGTGATTTTTAGATCAATTATTCTACTGTTAACAAAATAATATAATTTACAAAATACCCTGCAATGACCGTGAGTTAGGTCAGACTAGTAGGTCAGGGGTAGTCAGATTGTCAGAACATAAGAATTTAGCTAAGGTAAGAATGGCTGACCCAGAGAAGATAAGTAGTTTAGAAAAAAGCTCAGCAGTTGCATTGCATGCATTGGCACACAACCACACAACAGGGTGGGAGAAGGTTACATTTCCAAGATGTAATATAGGTAGGTGGAGGGAGAGATTGGTTACTGAATCTTTGTTCATCGAGTCTACACCCTACACGTGCAATAGGAATGACTCATCCCTCATACCCGAAATATGGAAAATACTACTACCAATCAAATCAAGCGATGAATTGGAATAATGGAATTATATAAACGAAGTTAGAAAGTTGTGTGAGTACCTTGATATGATTGATTATGAGCAGCTAGAAATTGTGCTCGAAACGTTGTTTTCAATAGGTTCGTTTGTAGTCCCTAATTCTCTGCTTCTCCTGCCATTCTGTTGGTTTTCGCCCACAGATCTTCAAGTTTTCTTGAAATCACACACACACACAAACCATCCTCGAAGCCCAGTCTTCTAGAGTCTTCTTGTCAGTCCAATACATACCAGTCTTTTCACTTCCTTCTCTCTGTCACATGATTCAGTCTGATATAATCAGGAATATCATCTGTGATATTGAGCAGATCACTTCAAAGGCTTCAATGAACTTTCAGTTGTGAATCATTTGGGATATGCCGTCATCACATAGCTGTTGGCTGAGGCCTATAAAGGTTCAGGAAACTCCATAGTGTTGGAGCAGTTTCGAAATTACTGCAACTAATGTGAATAGGATATTGTGTATTATCTTTCTATGAAATTAATTGGAATTTCTGCTGTGAAAGTAACAAGAACTGGAAGGTTAGATTACTTAGGACAAATCAATAAACCAAGAGGAAAATGATGGGACAACTGCCCTCTAATGTAAGACATAAGGGGTTTTATTAAGAAAATACTCAGTGTGACTGGTTTATATTAGTCCTCATAAGTAGTGTTTTCCACAGTATATAACACACATCTTTGAAACAACGGGTACTAGTTTCTACTGACAGTGGAACGCGAAAATAATCAAATACTTGTGATACAGAACCATCTAGTTGACGAGACCCCTCAGTAGGAAGGAAGGAAATCACCTGCTGAATTCCACAGTTAGCCAACACCAACCGAGTGAGATCCTCCTGTCCTTCCGGAAGGAAGCAATGACTTAGTAAAGAGAAAATTCAGAATAACGGAAATAACTAATACCGACATTTGTAAAAAATTATATTTGTAAAATCTCAGTGAAATTGAAATGATTAATTCCAACGTTTCCTATGTTCAGCAATCTGATCCGAACTTCTTCAAGGAAATTAATCGAAATTAACATAACAGAGGTTTATATATAAAAAGCACATCTCTTGTTTTTGAAACTTTGTCCAATCATGAGTCATAAAACAGGCATCAACATGTATAATAAACAAACAAAACAAAATTGTATGTTTATATATATGAAAGGACATATAAAAGTACGACGAACTCAGTGGTCGTTGTCCTTTAAATCCAGACGAAATTATGAAGGCATTAGAATTGTGTCTTCGATTCACGTTATTTACGTTTAGAGGGGTTCTTTACCGTCAAACATAAGGCATTGCTATGGGATCACCAGTATCTTCGCTAGTTGCCAATCTGTTTATGCACTCATTAGAAACAAATGCAACTATGAGATGCCCTAGTCCTCCAAAGATGTGGTTAAGATACGTGGATGATACCTTTGTCATAATCAAACGTAGTTTGTTAAATGAACTTTTTCACTTAATGAACAAAATGTCAGAAACTATCAAGTTTTTCAAAGAGGTTGAATTCGATGAGAATGAGTTGGCATTCCTGGACTGTTTAATAAAAAGAAAATTAGATGACAAATTTAAAATAAACATTTTCAGAAAGCCGACAAATTCGGATAGATACCTAGATTACTATTCAGCTCACTCATTTACCACCAAAGTAACTGTGGTCAAGAATCTGATTAACAGAGCCAAACGTCTAGTTACTGAGGAGGAAGATATTAGCAAGGAATTAAAATTGGTTCAATCCACTCTTGAATCAAATAATTATCCTAAAGCTTTCATAGAAAGATATTTGAAATGTGAAGACAAGGATGAATCGGAACCTGCTGCTAAGAATTGGGTTAGTACAGCGGTGATTCCTTACCGCAAAGAAACATCCGATGAAATAAAGCGAATCCTTAACGATCATAACATAAGAGTGTATTTTCGTGCAACTAACACCTTACGCTCATCACTGGTGAAGGTTAAGGATAGAATAGTACAAGAAAACCAGCAGAATTGTGTATATCAGATCAATTGTGGGGATTGTAACGCCGTATATGTAGGAGAAACTTCCAGACAGGTAAGTATAAGAGTGAAAGAGCATAGACAATGTCTAAAGGTGGTTCCAAAGACCTCTGCAGACTTGAATAAGTTAGAAAACAACTCAGCGATTGCACTGCATTCGATAGAAACGGGACATAAAATCGACTTTGATAGGACTAAGGTTCTACAGAAGTGTTTTGGTTCATATAAAGAAAGACTGACTGCAGAAGCACTACATATATGAGTGAATCCGAACAGTTTGAACATACGTGAAGGTGTGATGTCAGCTGATGCATGGCAAATCCTGACTAATAAATAAATTGGATATGTTTCAACAATTTGTCATACTTGGTCAAATTCCCGATTCTCTAACAAATGTTTTATGGCTGTTCACTCCCTCCCACACACACACACACACACCATTGTATACTACATACACACATACACATTTTTAACAAAAGTAGACTAATTTTGAAAGTCTGAGGTCAAATCTTGATCACAGTTCATACAACTTTTGTTTATTATACCTGTTGAGAGATGTTCCCTTTTTATATATAAACCTCTGTTATGTTAATTTCGATTAATTTCCCTGAAGGAGTTCGGACCAGATTGCCGAACATAGGAAACGTCGGAATTAATCATTTCAATTTCGCTGAGATTTTACAAATATAATTTTTACAAATGTCTACTTCGCACTCGGCGCTCAATTATTTTGCCAGTATCCGGTCAAATCTTGATCACAGTTCATATGACCTAATACCGAACCTTATCGTTTAAGTTAATTTGCATTTCCGCCTTGACCAAAATTCTCCAGTCTCCGTTGAAATATCACAGCTACTAGTGTAGACGATTTGATGCTGTCTGAAGATTATCATGATGATGTTGGTTTCGACTGATTGGGACTAGCAGTGGAATCTAGGATGGGAACTTCGTTCGATTTGAGACGATTTCGCCGGAAGTTCCCACCACGACTCGAACTGAAGACCCAAAGTCTCAAACACCAATAGA